AAGTGATGCGGCCTTGCTAGCAAGATCAAATGTATGAAACTGCCAGTGAAGCCCGTGGATGCCTGGATGTACCAAAGAACTGTAGGTTAAAATGAAGCTGGAACTGGTAAGGGAAAGCCTCTAAGGTGACACCAGTCCCTGGTGTTAAGCAGTCTGGTGGCCGAGCAGATGGCCTGTGGGATTGGGGCTGTTGTATGGAAGAACCTGAGCAGTGGGGAGAAATGGAACAAGGCTGCAAGAAGGCATTTAACCTGATGCATCAGAAACCATCTTGTCTGGATAGTTTCCAAATTAGATCAGAGGGACCAGAAACATTGAGACCCTTTTGCTTTAAAAAAAAAAAGCAAATCATGCTCATGGTGTCAAGCACATGCAAGCCTAGCACTGAGAGCCAGATCCAGGAGCATCCCTGAAGCTCACTGGCTAGCCAGCCTGGTCAAATGGTGAGCTCCAAGATTACTTTTTAGGTGTGTGTGTGTGTGTGTGTGTGTGTGTGTGTGTGTGTGTGTGTATACATGTACATGGCACACACACACACACATGCACAGGCACATGAGCATACCATGGCATACATGTAAAGGTTTCAGTAAAAATGGCAGAAATTGGTTTTCTCCTTCCACCACATAGATTCCAGGGATTAAACTCCAGTGTCCCTTGAGGGCAAGTGCCCTTACCCACTGCGCCCCAAGCTCCAGGTATAGTGAGACTCCGTCTGAAAATAGAAGGTGGAGAACAATAGAAGAAAACACCTGATATTGTCATCTGGCCTCCACATGTGCACACACAGGTGCAAACATAGGTGCACACATATAATACAAACACACACACGCGCGCACACACACACACCCCAAAATAAAGAACAAAAATTTAAATCATTTTTAAATAAAATGGTGGCAAATTAAACACAGCTTTTGTCTCAGCAATCTCCACAGACCTTTATGAAACAGAAGCAAATAGATTTTTCTTAAGCCCACAAATCCAGATGAAAAGGGGGACTGGGAACAGAGACAGCGACAGCTGGCTACGTTTTGAAAGCTGAAGGCAGGTGAGTGACGGTGACTGACTTAGCTGAAGTCAGGAATTCAATGCTGCAGGTATCTCTGAAAATGGAACGCAAGAACTAAGAATGGGAGGAAATATTGTCTCAAGGAGAAACATAGACACCCAGCGTCCTTGATCTGAAGATGGTGTCCTGGAAAGGATAAAACAGGTCCATGAACAGAAGGACAACAGGAACCAATGAGAGCTGAGATGGGATGGGTAAACAAAAGTGATACACGGGATAGGAAGAACCCTGCTTGCACCTCCAACTCTCACTCTTCATTCTCGGGAAGCTGGAAGGGAACTTTATCCCAGGAAGTCTGATCTAAGAGAAAATACCTAAAGATGCTGGCAACTGGTGTTCTCAGACTCAGATTACTTTAGATCAAGGTCAGCAGTCAAAGGTCATCAGACTTTTAGCACTATATCCCTGAACATGAAAGGGAAACTGAGGATCACCCACCAGACAATGGAGGCAGTTCTGTAATATAAAAGGCAGAGACCAAGATAAATAGAAAAGTCTACAAGACAAGGTAGAAAGTACTTCACATACAGTTACTAATTCCTGGAGAAATTAGGGATAATGCAAAGGCTGTGAAAGAACAAATCTATAACGAGCAAAAAGCATTCTTAGCAAAGCATGACAGAAGAGACTAAAAAGGCAACATTAAAGTTGGGACATGAGATTAAAGAAATTTCCTAGAAAGCAACACAAAAACAAAGAACGGAAAGAAGGGGGCAGAGATGAACGAGGCTGTGTCTCATAGAGGTATGGCTTCCGAATCAGCAGGGCTCCAGAAGAGAGAATAAAGGAGATTTTATTCAAGAGAGTAATAAAGAAAAGTTTCCCAAATCAAAGAACAATTTTGTAGATTGAATTGTTTTGCCAGATTCTTGGGGAAATATGTAAATATAAGATGTTATCGATATGCCAAATAAAATTCTAAAACTTTGGGTAGAGATCTTAAAGGGTAGAGATGGTGTCATTTTTCAATATTATCAAGAAGAGACTTACAGGGCTGGGCAGTGGTATGCCTTTAATCCCAGCGCTCAAGAGACAGAGGCTCTGAGTTCAAGGCTAGCCTAGTCTACAGAGTGAGTTCCAGAACAGCCAGGGCTATGCAGAGAAACTGTCTGAGAGAGAGAGAGAGAGAGAGAGAGAGAGAGAGAGAGAGAGAGAGAGAGAGAGAGAGACTTTGAGTAGAGTCCATGAGTATTTACCGAAACAATCTAAAAGACGTGGAATGGCCAGGCTAATTCAGGTCACATGACACATGGATTTCAGGAAATAAGAAGAAATGCAAAGAGAATCCTTGGGAAGCTGATGAGGGCTACACCACCAGGACAGCAGCTATGCTGCAGGCCAAGAGAGTTAGAGACAGAGATATGGGAACTAATGTCTCCACAAAGAGAACATTGGTTTTATAGTGAAACAGTGGCTTGAAAACTTTAAGAGAAAGCCATTTCTGACTTACAGTCCTATACCCAGCCAAACTGTCCACTGCTATGAAGAGAGAATAAAGATGCTTTCAATAATGATCTCAAAGTACTCCAGGCAGTGGTGGTGATGCATGCCTTTAGCCCCAGCACTCAGGAAGCAGAGGCATTAATTGTTTTTAGCTATTAAAATCTATTCTTGTACAAGTAGAGTAATAAAAACCTCACAAATTCAGAAGCCTAATATCTTCAAAACAGTTTTTGAGGTCTAGCTTCTCACCGACAATGTGCCTCAAACATACAAACATACATGTTTCATGGATCCATGCTGCCTAATCCAGCTGCGATGTAGGCTGTTCTGTTGTCAAAACACATTGCATCTACCTTAGAATGACTTTTTGTTTTGTTTTGTTTTTTGAGACAGGGTTTCTCTGTGTAATAGCCTTGGCTGTCCTGGAACTCACTGTGAGGACTACCAGGCTAGCCTCCAACTCACAGAGATCTGCCTGCCTCTGCCTCTCAAGTGCAGAGGCATTTAATGTCCTGGTCTACAGAACAAGTTCCAGGACAGCCAGGACTACACAGAGAAACCTCTCTCGAAAAACCAACAACAACAAAAAGCTACATGTTTCACATAGTTAGTGTTTATGTTGTTACAGCAATATAAATTCTAAATATAAGTGGAGGAAGGAGAAGTTAGCAGTATGTGTCAGAGTTTTAAAAAAACAAAAAATACAAAACAAAAACCAAAATAACTCATCCATACTGGAATATTGGCAAATAACACCTAAACTGAAAACGCCAAAAGTAGCTATGTAGCCCTATTCTTTGGCAATATAATGGGCACTATCATCAGTCAGATGGGGGAACAAAACCAGAAGGGGAAGGTAGGAAGAAAGGCAGGGGGGTACTGTTTGCCTTGTTTTGTTTGTTTAACTACATACCTTTGATGAAAATAAAAATTCAGCAAAAGCCTGGATGGCACACGCCTTTAATCGCAGCACCCAGGAAGCAGAGGCAGGTGGATCTCTGAATTTGAGGTCAGCCTGGTCTACAAAGTGAGTTCCAGAACAGCCAGGACTACACAGAGAAACCCTGTCTTGAAAAGCAAAAATAAAATCAGTAAAAAGATCAGAATGAGACGTAGAAGTTAAACTGGATTCTGGCACTCCACAGACTGAGCGTGCTGGAGGCGATTCTGTCCACTCCAGGACTGAGCAGCCTGCAGACTTCTTTCCACCACGAGCTTAGTGATAACCGGTGTAACTTATGAGACAAGATAGAATGTGAGGAGTATCCATTTATGGCAGCTAATAGCTGGGCCCTCACATAGCCCGCTAATCCCTTTAGTCACCATAAATGGCTGTTGATAACCAGAGAGGCAAACTCCTTAGCGTAGCATTTCAAAGGAGTTCTATTCTCTGCTGGTTGAGGGATAAAGGAACCAGGAAAACACTCACAAACTTGGAGAATCAGTTCCTTTTCTGAATGTGTGTGTGTGTGTGTGTGTGTGTGTGTGTGTGTGTGTGTGTGTGTGACTGCAACTTACACAAAGAAGTCAAGCTTTGTGCTGAGGAAGAGAGACTTACAGAGGAAGAGCAAGTGGTAACTAATAAATTATCCTTTCTTTTCACTGTGAGCTCTGACGTGAGGGGAGAACTGTGTCCCTGAGAGGGCATGGCTATGAGGGAAGGACACGCAGCAGGCTCCGCATCCCAGTTGAACTTGCTCATCCGGACCTTTCACCCTCTGGAAAAGGGAAGCCAGAAGAATGGTGGCCTGAACCCAGTTTTTCATAGCCCCAAATGTAGCTTGCAGAGCTGCCGTGAGCTCATAGTCAGCTGAGAGCAGGAGCCACAGAGACCTGGTGTCACCCACCTCCCCTGGAAGGATGACCTCAGCCCACCCTAGAAGAAGGAAGGGTCAGGCCTAGCTGCTATAGTGAGGGAAGGACAAGAGGAGGCTCTGTAGGATGAAACAGAACAGGCCACTGACCAGAGATCCTAAGTCACAGCTGAGGAAGCACCGCAGGCCATGGAATGTCAGCAGCCAGTAACAGCATGGCTCCCAAAGCATAGGTAACCGAAAGAGGGAGCCACTGCTTTCTCCTCAAGGTGTCTGATGGGAAAATCCTGAGATTACATCTGACCCCAGGAGGAGTACAGAGGACATGGAGGTGGAGCACTAAACTCCAGTTATGTAGTCACAACAAATTTGGCCTAGAAGTCATAGAGTGAGGTGGGCCACACAGAAGCCAGATCCAAGAAACAGGCTTGGAAATGAATAGCATTCCATTGCTGCATAGTTGTTTTGTTAATGCCTATAACTAGGTATTGTTTCTGACTTATTTATTCATTCATTCATTCAAAATAGGATCTCATTCTGTAGTTCAGTCAGGTCTAGAACTTTACTATTTAGTCCAGGCTGGACTCAACCCCATAATAATCCTCCTGTCTCTGCCTCCCAAGTTCTGGCTTTGGGATAGTTACTGATATTCTTAAATTTAAAGAACCACACAGGCCTGAGACCCCAGCTGCCATAATCCTTTGACCTGTTGTTCACTGTTGATTGCCCAATGCCCGAACCTCATTCAGTTCTCACATACCCAGTGATGTGGCCCCAACAAAGCTCCATTTTACAGGCAAAGGAAGCAGAGTTTAATGGACGAAATAACTTGACCAAAGTAGGTAGTAAGTAGCTGAGCCAAAACTCAGACTCTGCCTGCACACATTCTAAAACCTGTGATGACTTTCAGGGGTGATGTGTCCAACCGGGGCTCAGCCACAAAGCCGGGCTTTCTGCAGACAGTTGGTGTCTGGCATCTATCTGTGTGCGAGTGTGTGCATGCATCCATGTTCTGGGGGCTGCCACTAACCAGGAAGGTATTGCTGGAGCCAAGAAGGCCCAGCGGGGATGCATGAGTGGCAGTCAGGTGAGGCCCTGATGTGTACTCTGGTGCTCCAGCCTGTTGACAGTAGCTGGGGTGGCAGTGAACCAGAATGCCTTTTAGCTCCAGGCATGCATTTTCTTAACATGATTTTGAAACAGTTGAGGAATTTCTTAATTTTGGAATATGTTCAATAAATTGCTGCAAAGTGAGGTATTCAGCTCGGCTTCTTTAAACGTGTGCCAAGGAGCTGTCAACTTAAATCCCCCCAAATCATAACATTAACAGTTCTGTGTTCTGGCAAGATCCATCAAGCCCTGTGCTCTCCCTGTGAAATTCCTCCACATCTGTCTTCTTTCTTTCTCAAGGCTCAGGTCTCTACATTTGCTCACACCTTCACTGTAGCAGTCCAGCCCACTGCTGTGGCCTCATCTACTCAGAAAACAGGCGTGGAGTACCACGTGGGTCAGCACTGGCTCGGAGCTAGGGGCCACGATGAAGAACATGTAGTTCTTGCCTAGATTCATCTCCCAGACTGAGAAAAAGATGAGAACTTGTGGCCCAGCTTGTGCCACTGCCCTCCTCAAATTGCTTTCTTCCAGTAAAGTCCTGTTTTGTCTGCTGCCTCCTAGACTACATTTCCCATGTTCCTTTGGGCTCAGGTGGGGCCACAGGATGAAGTTCTTAGCAAGGTTACCTGAGGGAAGTGATGGGCATGGGTATCAGTAGTGACTCCCCCACCTCGCTTCCTCCTTCCTTCCAAACTGGATCTGGTGGTGACAATGTTTCCATCAGGCAGTTGATCACATTGTACAGGTTGTCACATTGTCTGGACCAGGGTACCTGATTGACCTTGAGAAGCCAGTCCCAGAACTGTTCCACGGGAGATAAAAATTAACACCAACATAGTTTGAATAATTGCATTTTTGGAACTCTTTATTATTGACTTGTGCCTTTACCTTAACCATAGCAGGAATATTTTTTATTATTTATTTTTATTTCATGTGCATGGGTGTTGGGTCCATGGGTGTTGGGTCCCTTGGAACTAGAATTACAGACAGTTGTGAGCTGCCATGTGGGTGCTGAGAATTGAACCTGGGTCCTCTGGAAGATCGTCCCTGCTCTTAACTGCTGAGCCATCTCTCCAGTCCCAGCAGGAATATTTTATGAATGAAGGAAGGAAGAGAGGAAGAGAGGAAGAAAGGAGGGTAGAAAGGGAAGGGAGGGAGGGAGGAAGGAAGAAGGGAAGAACGAAGTCAGATCTTTGGTGCTATGATTCAAGTGGAAAAATGAGTTTAGGCGAAACAGAAAGACATGAAGACATGGAGGAGGCCGGCTGGTAGAATATCTTTCAGCTGACTCTTGAGAGCCAACTGGTCAGGTCTGCAAGTATAGCTGTAATCTCAGCTACTTGGGAAGCT